GATCTTATTATACGAGTTAAAAATATGATCTATAATTATCTGAGTATAATTAACTTTACGTAAAAAAATGCGGATATCGCGGATAATGTAATCGTCTTAATGAAAATAGTACACGAGTGCATAAATAATTGAGGATATATCACGCAATAAAAATGCACATGCGTATGCCAATACTGATCAAAAGTCAATAAAAATACTTCTCATGTAGTATTTCCGATTAAATGTGATAATATATCCTGATTGAAATTAAAATGAAATAAACTTTGCTGAAGAGATCTTATTATACGAGTTAAAAATATGATCTATAATTATCTGAGTATAATTAACTTTACGTAAAAAAATGCGGATATCGCGGATAATGTAATCGTCTTAATGAAAATAGTACACGAGTGCATAAATAATTGAGGATATATCACGCAATAAAAATGCACATGCGTATGCCAATACTGATCAAAAGTCAATAAAAATACTTCTCATGTAGTATTTCCGATTAAATGTGATAATATATCCTGATTGAAATTAAAATGAAATAAACTTTGCTGAAGAGATCTTATTATACGAGTTAAAAATATGATCTATAATTATCTGAGTATAATTAACTTTACGTAAAAAAATGCGGATATCGCGGATAATGTAATCGTCTTAATGAAAATAGTACACGAGTGCATAAATAATTGAGGATATATCACGCAATAAAAATGCACATGCGTATGCCAATACTGATCAAAAGTCAATAAAAATACTTCTCATGTAGTATTTCCGATTAAATGTGATAACAATGTAATAATAATGCGCATAGCTATGGACGTGTTTACATACTTCGCATACTCGTAGCTATGCATATATGCATGCATTGGCAGAATATTTTGCAGAATGTCTCAGCATACGTGACTTCTTTTAAGATTCCGAGATTATTTGCGCGCGTAATCAAATTAATTTGTGTGGAGAAATTCAATGGATACCCTTTCGTTATTATTGCAGATATATACAATATTATACATGTTTGAGCGATTCCTTTGCGACTCTCATTGATTTTTCGTGTTTTGCGATATTAAATCCACTTTTAAATCAAATCAATTCGCGGTTGACAAACGCACGCCGTAATATCCATTAACGTTTCAGACTATAAGCAAACAGATTGGGCTGTTCAAATTATTGGTAACAGTGGTTCCCAAATTTTATTTTTTCTTCCGTGATTTCTCTCTATTGTACAAGATACATTATTCTTTCAATTCGATACAATTTTCATTTTTATTTTTCCTTTTTTATCAATTAAAATTAAATCATATCGGATGTTGTAACTTTACGTGAAGAAAGTATATCATTCGATACTAATAAAAAGTTAATAATGAAAAAGTTGAAAAGAGAAATGTTAAAATCGACAAAAATTCTAATTGGTGATCTTACGAATAAAGTGATCGCTTTATATAATTTATAATTATACACAGAATGTCGTGAAATTAAATGTCAAAACTAAAGTAAACAGGATACAATAATCTCACATTGTCGCGTATTTATTTACAATCCTCTAATTTTACTTCAAGGGGATTTTAACTCACTTTCTTTTCTTAATTCCACGCTCTACAATTTTTATCTTATGGTACTTTTCAATAAACCTAATAATTTTTTTTATTAGTTAACCTAATAATTTTAGTATTGTTTAAAGTTCTTAAAGGAAATTCTTTTTCTTTTTTTTTTGCGATTTTCTTCAAAACGAAGCAAAAGCGAGCAAATCTCTAAAGGACTTTTTTTCTTATTGTTAATTTATCGATCTCCCATACGCTCCCGAAGTTTTGACATTTCGAGACACCCTGTATATTTGATTTATTTTAAAAACATACATATTGCAATATTTTTGTTGTTTAAAGAAATATATTTCTATATCTTCATATCTTTTCATCTTTATAGAAATATAATACCGAGCATTCTTCATGTCTTCTGTCCCAGCACATTACCGCGAATTTCTGCTTGGCTTATGCAGCCAAAGACACGTTTTATATCATCGCATTGGCAAATGTCGATCGAGCAGAATGCTCGCATGATACCGCGGGCGTTTGTAATAAATTTCAAGAATATATCAGAGACAGGTCCTGTTTCGCGCGTACGAAAGAGAGAAAGGGAGAAGGAAATATTTCTCTTTCTCGCGCGTCGTCCTCGTTTTCGAAAGGGGCGAGACGATACCTGTTGCTGCCGCGAGGATTATGATGATGGGAGAAGGAGAGAGAGGGTACTTTACATCCATCTACCTCGTAAAACGTAATGGTTTAAGCGCGATACAGATACGATCAACATGGAATACAGAATGCCGGTAAACACACCCATATAAAGAATGATCATGTCTGTAGTTAGGCACAATATTTCTTTTTTCCTTTAGGGTGTTATCACATCGGCGAAAGACACTTCGCGAGGTTTTGTTCGTGACGCGACACATTGTCGTTTCCCTCTTCAATAAATCCGTTATCGAAGAATAGGTTTTTCGGATATTTGAGATTCGCATATTTAGAAAATGCGTATCGTATATGCAATCTATTCTAGCTTCAATTTTCTGCATGTGTAACGGAGGGAATTATATAAATAATATATGTATGCATAAATTGCACGCTTGGAATTGAAGTAGGCAATCTCTAAATATTTGCATAATTGTAATTTTCACAGTAATATTGAACGATCGCAGTGTGTGTAATATAGTAGCGTTACTATTAGGTTCGATCTAATATCAATACAAAGTATAACGATTTATCTATGTTTAAATTCTCTTGTAAAGTTCTCCGGGCACAACAGCACCGGTTTCCACGTATTGCGTGATATACTATTATTGCACAATGATTCAATTCCCATTCTAAGATCATACTTTTATTTTAACACGTTCAAGGGGTTTTGAGGGCTGTAACCCCGTCATGGTGGTTGATCATGTTATGACAGCTTATGAATCTTATTAGTCTCGATGGCTATGTAGCCGTGCAATTATAAATGGTTCAAATTAATGTCGACATTAAATGTACACGCGTATATATCATGCAGTGAAACCAAATATTCTTAAGTGGAAAAGAAATGAAAAATTTAAGTGAGCTATTACACAAAGTCTCTCTATCTTCGATATGTCAATAAGATACCGGGTTTTCTTTCGCGCACATGCAAAGAGTAAGGTTGAATCATTTCATAGGATATAGCTCTCTGCGGATGCAAGAGAATTTGACGAGATCAAGAGTCGGGATACATCTGCGTAGTTTCCGCAACGGCAACATAAAACGTTTTGTCTATTTGGCGAAGAATGCATCTTTGCAAAGAGTCAGCTCTACCATAAGGCAAAACTTCCCCCCCACGGGTGAGCCGCTAATAATAATAGATCGTCGAGTACAATGGAGATTCGTGTGAAAGGTCTGATGTCTGCGTTTGCCTTAAATGCCATGTATTAAGCGCGGCCGATCACAAAGAAATGTAGGAACGAACGTTCCTACGCGTCTCGACAGCTGATGGGAAGATGACGAATGCGCTCTGCCTCGTTAACGAATTCGCATGACTCTGCCATCGTTCTTTTAAATATATAGGTCATCTCAACAAGGCAAAGACAACAGGACCGTGTGCCAAGAATTTAGAACCAGATAACTAAGCGCAAACAATAACAGTAGGCGCTTCGCATTCTATAAAGTAACGATGATTTAGGATATTTATCACTTTATATGCGTCTTTAGAATGTGAACTTATAGAACGAATCGAATTTTAAATGAAATATTCGATTCGATTATCAACTAATTTTCAATCAGAAAACTTTCTCAATTTTTTAAAATTTTGTATTCTAAAGAATTCATTCTTTTTATAGTCTCATTCATTCAATGGTCATGTTATTATTTTCAAGAAAAACAGATTAAATTTCTACTACTAAAATTCTACTATATAGTCCGTTTATATTTGTTTAATACAAAATGGGATACGAATACGCTGTTTAGGATGTAAATCAGTTTACGCAATTTTTCGATAACGGTAACGAATCGAAAGTATCTCGCGGTTGACGCATTTTACCATCGTGAGTACCTGTCAAGTGCAAAAGGATATGGAACGGAGATAGCAACAGGTTTTATGGAGAAGATTCCCTTAAGAGAGGAAAGACAGGGGAAAAAAAGAAGCTCGCGTTAACTCGCTCTCTCGTAAAGCAGGCGCAAACATTCACCAAGGTATCTACCAAGGAGGAGGGCATCTGGTGGGGAGGCTCGTCTGGTTTACCGAGGGGACCCTCGTCCTGACTCCTGGTTACAAGGAGAACGCGGAGGAGGGATACCGCGGACGATTGCGCAACAATGCACTCCGCCACCTGCACTCGTTTCGTCACAACGACTTTAACAGGCTCGACGGTGGTTGGCCGGCCAGCCGGTCTCTCGCATTACTTTCGCCAATTAAGCCTGCACAGTTAGTCGTTGTAATTTAGCGAATATGAAATTCCAGGATTATTCGGAATTCCAGTCTGAGACGACGGAACGTGTCGTCGGCCGCCTAAGTCGCGGTCTCTTGCACAAAGAAAAGCGTATGATGCGCAAAGTGCATCGGTGAAATGCATTCCCTGCACAAGCAGATATCTTTTGGACCTTGTTGAATATAGGTCTCCAGATGCTTTATGCTACATATCCAGATTTTCTGAATTAATACTTTTTTTTTCTTTAATCAAATAATAGAATAAAAATAGAATTCGTTAATTAAACAAAAGATTAAACGAATCTCTCCTTCATACAATATTCTTTACAATTAATTTCCATTTAATCCTGAAAATGTAAAAAAAATGTAATTTAAGCTAAAGCGAAAAGACAAATATGCTTTTAATTTACAATTGCTATGCAATTTATATCGCTTATAATAGCGCGTCTTGTCGATGAACATATCGATACATTTAAAAAAAAAAAGTACGCGATCTAGCTTGTTGCATTTTATGACATCAAACAGACATATTTAACATGACAACTATTATAAGGGTTAAATACATTGGTAAGAAATTAAAATTATCTTTTTAAGGAGAATTATGATTAATAGTATAGAATTGTAATTACAGAATATTTATCAAATAGTGATGAGGTTGGACAATCAAACACATCTGCAGAAAGAGAGATGTTGGTGAATGTAAATTGTCCGATTAGAATGATACTCAATTACATTAGAAAAGTTGCACGTGTGAATAGTACATGTAATTAAAAGTAAAATGATTATATAAATATAATTATTAATTGATTATATATATATAAATGTTGACACTAATCTAACATCAATTTTGTTAAACTGCAGTTTTTTAATTATTAAAAAAATGTAAAAATCAATTTTCGTAGGAAACTAGATAGCAAACGCACGTTATTTTGACGTCAAATAACTTGCATTTGCTATCTGGATATTTTCAGATGAATTCGATTTATATGACGAAATCAATTGTCAATTGAAAAACGTATCCTTCTATGAGCCTTGTACACGCGGAACAGATATTCTTCAAACAGATTCAACATATTTTATCATAACTTTCGAAAGTAATGTGTGAATATTATTTTACCTAATATAGGAGATATTACAGGAGATATTTTTCAGGGGATGAGAATAGACAGATGGTGAACTTTACACCACTTCTAACAGGAAAGGCAGCCAAAAGATGTTCTGATATTCTATCCAAGGTGCGAAGACCTTCGCGGAAAACTCCATCAATTAAATCTACGCCTAAAAAGCATAATAATTAATTAATCTGATGAAATTTTAAAAACTCCATTAATCTGATGTATATAAAAAATTATTTAATAATTATATATTGTATAGTGCATATGTGTCTTGATGATATAGTATTACTCAACGACATTCAATGCACACAACATGTCTTTAATATGCACACATGTCTTTAATATGCATAATTAAATTGTACAATAGCCAAAATAGATTAGGGAAATTAACAAATTTATTGAACTTAAAATATTCAGAGAGAAAAAGAATTATATACAATAAAATCGTTATATACACTCACTTAAATCGAAACTTCTTATAATAAAGTCTCATCTAATTCCTTAATACTCTTATCTTTAATCGTGATATCATGAAACTTTCCGTGCCTTCCTATTCCTTGATAAATAAATTTCTTAGCGCCTTCAACTCCTTCCTCCAATATCAAATGCGATGAATTATCTTTTTCGAATTGCAATGCTTCTTCCATTACCTTTGCCGAACATGCGGCAAAATGCGCCGAGGCGCGATCCGCTAACAAAGATTTTTGCGGAAATTTTACAAGGGACGATGCCAAATTTATCGCTACGCCCAAAGCTGTACCCAAAACAAATAAAATACATATTTAAGAATAGATATATATATTATTCTCAATGTTTCTAGAATTAAACAGAGTAATAGATATGCCTAAAAATATGATAATACAGAGATAACGTTAATTTACTCTATATATATTACAGCTTTCCTTTAAGTTTTCAAATAATCCCGAGGTTTAATTCATACCTGCACCACAAGATGCATATTTATTTGCAATTCCCCACTTAAATGCTTCCTCTGCAGTAGCTATTCTTCCTGTTAGTATTAGGTCTATAGCTCTAGAATATCCAACCAGAGCAGGCAAACGGACGGTGCCTCCGCATAAAATTGGAATGCCGGAACGTCTGTTTA